ATAAAGCAGTAGATATCCTAATTTTATCTATTACATCCGGTAGGCAGATACAATAATAGTAAAAAATACGGAATTAAATAAACACGCATGAAATAGAAAATACGTCTAAAAAATCCTAAAGAAAAGAAATATTTTTGTTGTTTTTGGTATAAAAGAAAATAAGGCCTAAGTCTATTTAATTTTAATTTTAAAGAAAAAATGTTAGAATGATTAATTAATTTATTTACAAAATTAATCTAATTGAAAAAATAACTAGCCTAAATATTTTTGTGATTTTGATTTTAATGTAAAAAATAAAAGAAGTTAATGAAAACCAAAAAAATGAAATGCAAGGGACACCCTTCGATCCAGGGAGAAAAGGGGAGCTTCGATCCAAGGAGAATTAAGGCCTTTTCGATTCAGAGGAGATGCCTTCTTTTGATTGGGCTAAGGAGTGGGCGTGAATAGCCTTCAATCCAGGGAAGGGGATGTCTTCTTCGATCCAGAAGGTCATGGATTTCGATCCAGGAAGGAGATGCCTCCTTCGATCTAGCAGGCTAATTGGAAGCTTCGATCCACAGAAGATGTCCCTTTCAATCTGGGATGATATACCTGTAAAAGTATATTAGCGAAATAAAATGCAGGACCTGGGTATCAAAACCCAGGTCCTTCGATCCTGCACTTGCTGGGTCTTTTCAGGCTATGTCTGCAGCAAATGTTAGCAAACGAAGAACATGACCTGGGTGCCAAACACAGGCCCTTTGATCCTGTATAGGATGGCAAATCGAAGGTAACAATAAGTATGGATGTGTTATGCAAATAAAAGGTTGGATAATTTACTATTTCTTACCAATAGATTGAAACTTCAATTTGGGAACTTCCTGGATGTAGACACCTTCGATCTGGAGCTTCTCGGCTTGGCTACTTTTGTTGAAGGGTGACTTTGGCTTGGAAAATTCTGATAACCTTTGATGGATTTTGGGGCAGCGTCTCTCCAATGTTTTTTTCGTTCTCCTCCCTCATGCAACACTTGTGGTCTCTTTATAGAGGGGGTAGAGGGGACAAGAAGGCAAAGGTTTAAATAACCTTGATTGTGTTTGAAATCCATGAATGAGAATTTGTAACATTGGCCAAACACATGGGATCTTGTCCTTTTTTTTTTGAATTTTGAATGATATGTAGCTGGCCTTCGAGTGCTCCCTTTCGAAGGGACTGATGTCTTCTTCGAATGGACCCTTTGAATGCTCTTTGAATGGACCATTTGAATGCTCTTCGAATGGACCCTTTGAAAGCTTTTCGAATGGACCCTTTGAATGCTCTTCGAATGGACCCTTTGAAAGCTTCTTCGAATTGACCTTTGCATGTTTTTTGAATGGACCCTTTGAAAGCTTTTTTGAGTGGACCTTTTGGAATGTCAATCGAAGGTCCTTTGTTGACATGCCAATCGAAGGACACTGTTACCATGCTTGTCGAAGCTGCCTTGACACAACGCCAAATTGAAGGATCCCTTGCCATGCCAATCGAAAGGCTTGGCCCAGGGTCTAACAAAAGAGTCTTTCAGAATGTCAATCGAAGGCCTTGACACAATGCCAATCGAAAGGCTTGTCATGAGGCTAATCGAAAGGCCTTGTATCCATGTCAATCGAAGGGCTTGGCCACCATGCCAATCGAAGCATTTGGAATATCAATCGAAAGGCTTGGCTACAATGCTAATCTAAGATCATTGTCCATGCCAATTGAAAGGCTCCTTCAGAATACCAATCGAAGGGTCTTTCAGAATGCCAATCGAAAGGTATTAAAAACACCACTTAAAAATTTTCCTTTTTTTTCTTAGGTAAGAATTTATGGTCAATCATGTTGGGGAAGATCTTAGAAAACATGAGAGGGCAAATTTTGGGGTACAACAGTACACAATGCATCTGTATTACTCTACAGGAACCTCTTATTATATCTGTATATTAAAATCAGTTGTTTTCTAAAATATTAGTTTAAAGGGATTTTGAAAATTCAACGACCTAATGTCGAGATTTTAACTTAAAAGAGTATAAGTTTAAAAAAATGAGATTTTTGGAGATCTAACTTAAGATTAGCAAAACTTAAAGATGGATGAAGGAATTTGCGTAATCATAAGATACACTCGATGACATGAAGTCAACGAATTAATCATTTTTCTTGAATTCAAACACAAAGATAATAATCAGATAAAGACCGAATAAAAATCATGCATCAGATGAAAATGGATAGTAATCATAGTTCAAGGATTAAAGAATCAATTTTAGGTTTTTTTCTTTATTAAGTGGCTTATAACAAGCAAAAAATAAAGAAGCTCAAGTGAGCAAAGAGAAGATAAATGCTTAAGTGAACAAAGAAAAAATGAATAAAATAAAGAAAATAAAATGCTATGGATGATAAATGGCATAAAAGTAAAGAGAGGAAAATATAAAGTTAATAATCTGATTTGGGGTAAGTGTAACTTCTTATGGAGCATACAATGTATGTACCCATACATATTAGAGAAATGACACTTTGAAGTTCATTCTCTTATACATGTAGTACAATTAACAAACATACGGGATCAAGACAAAGTCAAGGAAGATACATTATAACAAACTTATCATAAATCCCAAGTATATTGAATGATCAAAGAACCATTAAGAGGTAGATTTGAAATGATGAAAGTTCATCAAATATCCGACAAGTTTAGATGAACTAAAAAAATGCAAATGCTTTCCAAATTGATTCAAATAAAAATAAAAATAAAAATAAAATAGATAAAGAAGAATAAGATGAAGCCTATAATAAAAATAGTATAAATGTCATAACTTTCTCAATTATTCATGAAATTAAACAAATGAATAATAAAAATTTATCTACTTAATCTCTCGACCAAGGATCCATATTCAAAATAAGTAAGTAAATAACAAAAAATTACAGAGAAAAAAAATGAAAATTTAACAACAATAAATAACTTTTGTTTTTGGAGGTTCAAAAACACTTTTCAACTTTTGATTTTGAATTAATGGAGTTTCCTTCAAAAATTGTGATAATTATGGTACTAAATAAATAAATAAATAAATAGCAAAAATGTAATAAAATTAAATAAAAAACCAGCATAATAGCCTACATATTCAATAAAAGGAAGAAATAACTTGAAAGAAAATGAAGAGAAAAGAAGAAGAGAGTTTTGTCTTAGTTTAGTAAATGATTTATGGTATTGTTAATTTCAAATGAAAGAAAAAGATGTCTTATTTTTAGGGTGAATGAGGTGAGAGTGTTGATGTGGCAATCTATGTGACTTTATGAGAATTGTTCTTGGCCATTGATAAGTCAAGTTGGCAATCCATGTGAAGTGTGCGAATGATTCTTAACCATTGATAAATACAAGTTAACAATCCATGTGAAGTATTTGTACTACATTATAGTGGTCTTAATTTTTCTTTATTGCCAAAAAAAAATGACAAAGTAGTAATAATAATAATAATAATAATAATAATAATAATAATAATAATAATAATAATAATAATAAAAGAAACTAAAAGTGTTAGTAATAATATTAAATACAAAATAGAAAATAAAAGAGACATTAAATTAATTATTTATGATTTTTTTATTGAATTAAAATAAATGAAAATAAAAGTTCAAATTAAAAGATAAAAAATAAAATACATATAAGAAAGTAAAAGGACTTATATAAATTTTTCTAGATTTTTCTTGAAATAAATGATACCAATATATAAATTTAAATTAATAAAATAACATATTTTTGATATTTTTTACTAAAGAAGTAAAAATAGTAAATAAAAAAATAACATGATACTAAATATATTTTTTTGTGATTTTTTAAATGGAAAAGAAATCACGAATAAAACACAATAAAAATCAAATTCCACTAAATTCATAAACGTTTTTATTTTTTCGTGGCTTTTCAAAACATAATCTACTATTGACTTGTAAATAAAAGTTGTAGATGATGTCAAGGGAAATCATATGCAAAAAGAACCGCTAAAATATCAAAATTTGAAGAAATTATGAATTTTAAAATTTGACTCGAGAATCAAGAAAAATAGATTAAGTCACCTGCGAACACTTGCTATGAATGATGGAGATGAAAAATAGGACCATTAAGTAAAAAAATTAGAGTATGACACAAATTTCATTTTTAGTCCTTACAAAAAAAAATTTATTGAGTTTTAGTCTTTACTATTTTCTAAAATTTTGAAAACTATTTGATTACTGATAAATTTTTAATTAATTTTTTTCATATATGTTTAGAAAATTATAAAAAAAATTTTTATCAAATTTTAAAATTTTTTAAAATAGGATAAATTAAATATGAATTTTTTAAATTTCAAAAGATATTGATGAAAGTAACAAAAATCTCGATTTAGAAATCAAATTTTTAGTTTTTTTTTTCAAAAAACTTTTTATAATGTTTTAGGGACTAAAACTACCTGCATAATAATTTTGTAGAGACTAAAATATGTCATGTTTTTTATAAAGACAAAAACAAAATATAATAATTTATAGAGATCAAAAACATATTTAATCATTAAATAAATTTACTCGTGGATCCACACAGGTATTTTGCTGAATCGTCAAAAACATATTTAATCGTTAAATAAATTTACTCGTTAAATAAGGTGGCCAGTCTGTAACAAAACCTGCCCAAACAAACTCTCAACAACTCATAAGATCAGATATATTTAAGAAGAGACTGATTGTTGAACAGGTCAAATGCTATCTAAAATTGGTCTGGCTACATTTTACAGGCAAAACATATCCCAAAAGTTTTTAACAAAATTTTGCAGGAATTCACACATATTTAAGAGTGGTAGTTGGAGAAGATAAATTAACACCAATCCCTCTTATCCAATGTTCAGTATCACTATCATCCTGGCTCCTATTCTGTCAAGTTAACTCTAGCAATTTATTTTAAAAACTACAGAAAAATAATCATTCATCCTTTGTTCAACCCAATAAGTTACTTTTGGTTACTGGATCAGTTGTTGAGTAGTAGATTACTACCGTTGCACATATGACAGCATTAAACCAGGAAGGGAGGCACATGAAGGAGGATATATATCTTTTGCAGACATCAATGAATTCACCACGTCTTGTATTTGATTAGTTAGCATGAAAATGTCTTCAGCTGAATTCTTAGCTGCCCATTCTTCTATCACCCTGCACAAATCACAAACGGATTAAAATCGTAGGCAGAAAAAGGAAAAGTAAAGAAATCTTTACATATTATATAGATTTTTCCAATTAATAGAGCAAGTATACTAGAATCGATAAAACTTGATAACTCACCTTAGTTGAGATTCTGTTGCTGCTTCGGAGTCAGAAAAAAGGACCTTGATGACCGGCCGTAGCTGTAATTTAGGATCTGGGTCTTTCTCCTCTGCTCCAAAGCAATAACCAGAACAGGACCAAGTATCTAGATTTAAAAGAATGATTTGCAGGACAGGAGATTTGGTTTTCAGATCTCTAACAACGAACCGAAATGTTGACTCGTCATCCGCACACTCGACCAACCGATTCGCAAACATTTTGTCCATTGTGTACTTGCTGGTGACAAATATAATGCATTAAATTTATCCAGTTTATCTATGAATCCGTATTTAAAAGTCAAACATAAAATATTTTAAGAAATCACTATCATGAAATCACTACATCTACTTCACAGTCAGCTACAATGAAGTCATAAGGGTATAAAAATTACTAAGTCAACATTTCTCTTCTTTGATAAATAATTTCAACAGGGAAAAAAAAAAAGTGAATTTAGTCATTCTTTGCAAACCTGAAAATGTCCCCTGATCCTAAAACTGGCAGACAGGTTGAAATATAACATTTGAACAGTCGTACTCCTCCATCTACAGGCGCACATCCCTCACAACATGGGTAGGCTCCAAGGAGAGTTGTGCATTGCGGGCATGTAAATTCATGCCAATCAATATTCTTTGAAAGATTTGATGATCTAGCCATGAAAACATCTTCAAGAAAACCATTAAGAAAAGATTTCTGATTTCCCACAATTTCCACAGTTTCAATCTTCCTAGCATTTGAAGATAAATGATGTTCACCGTCTTCATCTCCTAGAGTACTCGTTAAATGAGTACAACAACTATGAATATTGGTCGTGTGTTCAGTGTCATTCAAATCTAGACATATACGAGCAAAATCACTGCAATCAGGTTCATCAGAAAGCTTTCCATTCCCAGGATTTGCAACCCTTGCATTCTCATCAAAAGAACAGTTCAGTTCACAAACATCACTACAGGTCGAAGTTCTTTCCTCATTCAACCCCAAATTCCCAATGCCTTCACTAACAACCCCAATTCCAAAATCATCGGCTACATGACCACACCCATGCAGCTGTCCACACCGCTCAGGAAAATCAGTTTTCACAAGATCGTCCTTACAAAAAGTGACAGATGTAGAGCTCAACAGACACATCCCTTGTGCACACGTATGAGAATTCACATACCTCGTGACGAGCTTCTCACTTATACCGCCAAACGAACAACAACAAGCCCCAAACCAATTGTCAGCCACCTCCCTCCAATTCGGTGACGGCATTTCAACAAAATTCCTAAATAATTGGTATCAACCACATAATAATAACAGTGAGAACTTTTATCTGCTTTTTTTAAACCACATAACAATCTATAACAATAGAGGTAAACCAAGAACAAAGAAAACACCTGATAGGTTTATTGGTCAAATGGTATCTGCAAGTTCTACAAAGAAATTCAACTTCTCCAGCAGAAGACAATTTGTCTACATCTGAACCAAAAAATATTAATAATAAGCGAAAGGAAGCAACGAAAATCAAAAGCGGAATATTGAGGTTAGTTACCGTATTCGATTAGGAGAGGTTGAGGTAATGGTGAGGTTTGATGAAGTTCGGATAGGACGGGGTGATCGACGGGGAGTAAGAGTACGAGTTTGATTTCGATATGGTCGGTGAATGAGCGGAGGGTGGGAGGAAGTTCGGCGTCGAGTAAGACGTTGGGAATCGGAACCCTAAGGGAGAGGGAGGAGGAGGAAGAAGTGAGAGTGAGGAAAGTGGGAGGGGAATGAAGGTGAACGGTGAGATTGTGGTGGTTTAGGGTTTTGGAGAATGGGAAAAGGAGTAAGCGGAGGATTGGTGTGTGAGATTGTGCTTCCCATGTGTAACGCCATTTTTTGTCTTCAATTTCAGTTTCAATCCCCATTTTCCCACCACTGCAGGCTCGTTGTTAATGGGATGTGTGTAATTGCGTATCGAATTGAGTGACTAATAGCGCGTTGTAGTGAAAGAAACAAAAACTGAAAAAACAAGGTGTGGCTGCTGGGATTCGAGCCCAGGTCTCCACGGCCACAACGTGGAATTCTTACCACTAAACTACAGCCACCTTGATGGAAGATTTCACCTACTATTTGTTCTTCTTGTAAAGTTTTTAAACGATATCATCATCATCAAATGAATCTATTTGATTTGTAGTACTTTTTAAACCGAATCGTCACAAAATAAGTGCGGATGAATGACTTGGAACATGTTCAAGATTAACAGAAAAGCTGTTAAAGTGCCACATTTTTAAAATACATTTCTATATTTAAAGACAATGCAGCATATTATAACTCATTGTCACTCATACCTGATATTAATGTTGTGTTCTTAGTGTTTTTAATATTTCAAAATAAAAACACATAAAATGTACAAGCATATAAATCATATTTTCGGATAATTTATTAATAGTTGTGGAAAAGAATTGAGACATCTTTGTCTGATCAAAGACCCAAAGAGTTAAGTCCCATTGATGTCAATTTATTTCAAATGGTTCAATATATAAAAGTTATCATACACGAAATATAAGGTATATTTTATGATTTTTATTTTTTTACTTAATTCATCTTAAATTTTAGATTGATTTGGGCGTTAGAGTGTTAATCTTGAAGGTCCATCTCAACACACTCATATCAGAGATAGCGCCGCCAATTCAAGATTCCTCATCATCAACATACACCTAATTATGGTTCAAGAACGAAACAATAGCGCCGAATGTGAGAAATGACTCCTAATTTCTGCGAAAATTCCACGAATGGAGACAGTTACCTCCAATATCACCTTGAAGATTCATGATTAACCTTTCAACTTCACATAGCCTCAATTCTTTGTCGTCGATGAGATTTGTACCATAACAACTTTCAATGTAGATCTACTACATGAGTACCTTTCCTATACACATAATAGTCTCTAAACAATAAGCAAATATCATATAGCACCAGGATTCCTAGACCGTGACGAGGTAAACGGAATCCCAAACTCTGATAATTGTAGCGATTGCCATCGTGATTCACACGACACATCGCTCCAATGCGAATTATTAGGTATTCTAATTTTATTTTATCGCATTTTATCATCACCACTAAGATCCACAACATCGTCAAATCCAACGACAACTTGTCGTTATAATGCCTATTCCAGATGGAAAATTGACGTTGAGTCAAGAAACAAAGATCGAGGGGCACAAGGACATTCGAGAGACTTGAAAATACGAAGAATCTCAAGTACGGAACTACCAAAGGTTTTAACAGTCTCTATAATTGGTGAAAATGCTTACGAGATACCTCATAGGTGAGGGATCCCCTACGATTGTTGGAATTAACAATGAAACTCCATGGATGCGCAAGATGAAGAAGATGAAAGATGCATATAGAGAGAAGAAAATTTTGTAACTAACTATAACTAACTTTTCAATCTGAACAAACTCTGCATCATACTCTAACAAACTGAATTTCAGTTTATATACACTTCAAATGAAACTCAAATGGAACTTAAATGCAAATAGTTGAATCTGAATTACACTTATTGTGATACGGTGGGAGAACTGACTTGAGGTTTTGCGTTTGTATTCGCACTTGTTCGGTTTATCAAGAGTCGCCACCGACTTTTTATTTTATCCTAAGGAAAGGTTAAAAAGCACAGGAAAAATCTTTTGAGATGTTTCGTGGGTTCGGGGGGTAGATTATGAAAAGGGAAGGTATTAGCATCCTTTTCACCCATGGTTATCCATGGGCTCTTAGTTACTTGGTTTTAGATCACTTGCCTTTGATTTTCAATTGCTTGAAATTGTGGTGTGTGTGTGTGTTTTGAAAATGTTTTGAAAAAGATGCCTTGTCTTAGGCAACCATTGTAATGACTCGTGTTTGAGTGTTTTACAAAAGTGTGTATCTTTTTGAAAAGATGTTTCAAATGTTTTTGGAAGTTTGTTTTGAAAGTGCTTGTGGAGTGTGGTTTAGAAAAGTAGGCAAGTGTTTTGCAAGTTTGATCAAGTAACTAAGAGTTGTCTACCCCTATTGTACTCAAAGGTTTTTCTCATGTCTTAACCCTTTTTAACAATTTTGTTCCACCATTGTATTTGGTGGACAATCTTGTGTTAGGATGTTTAACGGGACAGGCGCGAGTCATCGTATGGACCATGAATGCAATGGTGCCAAGTGTCTTTGGCAATTTGCTTGAAGGGACTATGATCACTTTGATAGGCAACTTTCGAAAGCGTCATCGAGGGACTATGATCATTTTGTTTTGTTTTGCCAAAGATACTCAACGTGCAAGCATGGCCCATTTTGGAAGGCAACAAGCGGGATTACCCTAGGGGTGCAAGTGTGATTGTGTATTGATTTCATGTATTTGTCTTGTATTGGGTTATCTAGCGTTTGATTTTATGTACATACAAACCCTAGGTCTAACCATGGTATATTTGAAAGTAATAAATTGCGGGAATTTAAAGTCTACGCTATTACAAATAAGTATCCGGGAGTGGGGGTACAAATTTACAAATTGGGATGAGACTTAATAGGAGAATAGTGTCTGAATATTTACAACCAAATCGAACTGATCGCAAATGTAATATGTATCAAATGTACAGCAATGTATAAGAATAAAGCAAATGTGAATGTGTCAATGTATAAAGATAATCAAATATGTATTGTAAATGTGTATGTGTATGTAATTATTTTTACAAGTGCGAAATGTGTTTAACTTAATGAAAAATTAAGTATTTATTTATTCTTTGTTATCATTTTGTATTTTTGTTTAATATGTACAAAACAAAATATTTTAAGAAAAAAAAAGAATGTTTTAAGTTCTATTTTTATGTATTAAAATTAATGTATTTTAATTAGTATTTTTATGTACAAATGTTCCTATGTATTTTTCATGTACAAAACTTAGACTTAAAAAAAATAAACTTAATAGAACTAAGTTTTTATGTCTTTTTAATTGTTCAAAAGATAAAATATAAACTATCCTAGAAAATTTTGTATATGTGTAAAAAAGGGTTAAAATGTTTTTATTTACAAAAGAAACAATTTGTATTATAGTATTAGTATAAGAATTTAATGTAAAAAACAGTATATTAATTTGTTTTAACAAAAAGATAAGATATGTTTTATGTAAAAAAAAAAGATTAGTTTAGAAATTGAATGGGCTTGGTGGATTTACTTGAGCCCAATCAGAAAATGAACAGAAGAAGCATGAGGGGGGGGGGGGGGGGTGCGCTAGGATTGGAAATGAGCTTTAGGCTTGTTAGTGGGACAAGGCCCAAGCACGTTAGACAACATTTTTTGTTTAGGGTTTCTTCCAAGCTTGTTGATTAGGGATTCTAGGGTTTGTGAGAACACAGAGGCGCGCCGTTCACTTCGTCCTCTTCGTCTTCGTTCGTCTTCTTGCTCGAACCATACCTCTGAACCACGCTAATCGTCCATGGCCACCCAACGTCACCTCCGTTTCTCCTCTCTCCACAAGGTCACTCCAGGCGGTGGTTACGAGGTTTGATTTTCGTTCTGTATGTTTTACGCCTTTGCATGTTTTTACTCATTTCTGGTTCTTGATTATATTGCTTGATGTTTGTGCAAGATGGGGAAAAGAAAAGAAGAAAATAAGGGTTTATACCTTTTGAGAGTGTGATACGGTGGGAGAACTGACTTGAGGTTTTGCGTTTGTTTTCGCAAATGTTTTGGTTGAGCAAGAGTCGCCACCGACTTTTTATTTTATCCTAAGGAAAGGTTTAAAAAGCACAGCAAAAACCTTTGAGATGTTTTCTTGGGTTCGGGGAGTAGATTATAAAAAGGGAAGGTATTAGCACCCTTTCTATCCATGGTTATCCATGGGCTCTTAGTTACTTGCTTAGATCAACTTGCCTTAATTTTCAATTGTTTGAAATGGTGCTTTGTGTGTGTGGGTTTGAAAATGTTTTGAAAAGAGGCCAATGTGGTGGCAACCTTTGTAATGATCCATGTTGGGATGTATACAAAGATGTATGTCTTTTGAAAAGGTTTTCAATGTTTTTAAAAGTTATTTTGAAAGTGTATTGATGTGTGGTTTAAAAAATAGGCAAGTGTTTTGTTTTGCAAGTTGGCAAGTAATAAAGAGCTATCTACCCTAAATTTCTCAAAGATCTTTGCTATGTTTTAACCCTTTTAACAATTTTGTTCCACCATTGTATTTGGTGGACAATCTTGTGTTAGGATGTGAACGGGACGGGCGCGGGTCATCGTTTAGACCATAATTGCAATGGTGCCAAGTATCTTTGGGCAATTTTCTTTAAGGGACTTGATCATTTTTAGGCAACTTTCGAAAGCGTCATCGAGGGACTATGATCATTTGAATTGTGTTGTTTTGCCCAAAGAGACCTAACATGCAATATGGCCCATTATTGAAGGCAACAAGTGGAATACCCTAGGGGTGCAAGTGTGATTAGTGTTATCCATTTTCATGCTTGTTTATCTTGAAGTTAGGTCAAACTATTTTTGGTTTAATTGATTTGCATACAAACCCTAATTCTAACATGGCATATTTAGAAAGCTTTTAAAATGCGAAAAATAAAAGGTCCTAAGTTATTACAACACAATATATGGGATGGGGGGTACAAATGTTCAAATGGGGGTATTTTGACAAGAATTAAATCCTAAGCTATTACATCAAATTGGAATTTTGCAAGGTATTTAATTACACAATATTCAAATAAAATAAAATAAATATGCAAAAATGAAAAAAAAGATTTTCATATGTATGTGAAAAATATTTATCATATATCAAATAAATAAAAATAAAATTAATGTATTTTTAGTATTTTTATGGATCTAGGGTAAAACCCTAATTTTATAAATAAAAAGTATTTATTATATAATATATGTAATATTTATTAATTATGTACAAAAAAAAATAAAT